ATTTCTGCCAAATTTTGGTAACTTTTATTTCCAGCCATTTGTCCTCTGTGTGACCAGAGCTCCCTGCATATACTAAAATGTCTATCGATGGTCTTTGAGGGCAGAGACTGCCTACTTCATCTTAATGTCCCCAGTGCTTTACTAGCTACTTGGCATAAAACGCTACCTCAATACATCGTGTTGAATGGTCTTCTCGAAGTCACACAGGTAGTTTATAACTTGTCAAGCTACCACATAAGGAATAAAAGTGGGAAACACCCATTCTTTCCATGGGTCAGAGCAGTGCCTTTCAACAGAAATATAATATGGGCCACTAATGTGAGCCACATAGGAAATTTAAAATTTTCTAGTCACATAAATTTTTTAAAAAGGTGAAATCTATGCTAATAGTATATTTTATTCAACCCAATATATCCAAAATATTGCTATCACAACACGTAATCAATAAAAATATCCTGAGAGTTTTACATTATCATACTAAATATTCAGAATCTGAGGTGCATTTACATTTACAGCACATCTTAGCTCAAATCAACCTTCTATCAACTTCCGTTCTCAAGAGCCACTAGTGGCTACTATGTTGGATAACACAGAATTAGAATATCAGGTGCACGAATTTTCTAGTCTGAATGAATCTCAGTTGTCTCTGTAATTCTAGTCTTATAAAAACATGAGTCCAGCTTCTCCATTGGAATGTGTCCTTACACTGTACTCAGAAACTTTGCAAAACTTCAGTTTTGCAGTATGTCAGTTTGGATGAAAGAAAGACCTTTGGGGAATCAAACAAGTCGTTTTGATGTCAGAAGTCAGAGAGCTACACTGGCCTGTATCAGAAGTGGTTAAAATTCTTTACATCATACATTTTATTTGATTCACCAGTGTGAGTTGACAAAAGTGAAATAACTAAGATGATTTAGTGTAACAAAATACAGTATGACATTAAAAATGGTCATATTAGCTAAGCTTCCTGAGGACCTTTTCCCAAAACAAGTTTTCTTCCAGTTGATCTATAAGAACCATCTATGATTTTTTTTTCTATGAACAATTCTTAGCAAAAGTTGAAGCAGCACATTTTTCCAACTTATTTTGAAAAGAGACTCTCAGTGAATTTTGGTCCATTTCAAAATCACATGAACGAGATGCCCATATATTAGAAATGCTACTGATTGAGAAAAAAAGTAGAAAAATTGGCCTCTAGTTTTTTTGTTCAAAAACTCTTTTTTATATAGTTACTCTAGATCTACTCTACATGTGCCCTTAGGAAATTATTTCAATGAAAAGGTGCTCTGAATTTGGTGCTGCCCCCATGCCTATAATTTTTGGCAATTATACACTCATTTTAAAACGTAGGTCTTGGAATATTTTGATACTATATTCTGAAAGTGTAAAATACATAGGATTATAATTAGGAATAGTTTGCCATATATTTATTCAATAATTAAATACAAGTTTCCTATCCTAAGAAAATATCACAACATTTTCATCATGCTGGTTTAGGATCCCACCTCATATTTCCAACTAAGGGTTTGATTTATTAAATATTTCTTATGCATGCAAAATCTCCCTTTAATCATGGCACAAAAGGATGTTAGAGGATATACAAAATTAAGAATTTGGTTGTTTTCAAACACACTTTGAGAGAAATTTACATATGCATGTGTACCATCATAAAATGAGCACTATGTCCACTTGGATTTGCTCTCAATTTACAGATCAAGTAAATAATCTCACCTGCATATGAGACGGCAGGTGAAAGTAACTTCAGTGAACCTCTAAACCCATTTCCAATTTCTCTCACACTGTGTTCAATTAAATACCCAATTAATTTAAATAGCAGACTGTAAATAAAGCAATGCACATGATTATCATCTAATTAGCACTGGCCAGCATTATAATGTGCTCATTAGCAAGTTGTATGGCATCCTAAGGCTCATAATGAGTAATCAGGATACACATGATTGGCATGCAGCTATCCGAATGCAACTACTCAACCCAATAAATCGGAGTTAGGACAAAATGTGTTATATAAAAAGAAAAAATACAGAGCCAGCTGGTGAATTGGCAATTTCCTCCTTCCTGTAATTCAGGTACAGCTCCTGCTCTCAAATACAAAATAAATGTGAGAACAGAAGAGCTGGAGATAGCAGAAGAGCTGGAGATAGAAATGGAAATGTTTGCTAAGGGTGACAGAGAACAAGTGCCTATGATTATTATAAAAGATTACCAAAAAAGATAAAACCTTTGTGGTATTTGGTTTCTTTTTCATATCTCAAGTATAGAATCAAAGTAAGAAATGAGCAGTGTTTCAATAACATTTCTTGGAAGGAGAAAATTTAGTCATTGAAATATATCTCCTGATAATGTTCATAAAGCATTTTGCCTTCATGGTTTTAGCATGTTACTGCAAAATAATTTGGCAGGCTGCAGGGAGAGATGCAGCTGTGTGTTGCATTCATTGTTATGTATGTGATAAGTCACTATGGCAGGAGTTGTCTCTCTTGACACTCAATCCGACACCCTTTTCTTTTGCTTTCCTCTATTACAGAGGCTGGAAAGCAAAATAGTTACCTTCCTAGACTCCCTTGCAGCTAGATGAAGGCCAGGTGACATTGTCTTGTCAATGAAATATAGGCACAAGGCCCTATGCAGGCTGTCCCTTTCTGAATAAAGCCTGGGTAAAATAAAACCTGAATCTCTTCCCCCTTTCTTCTTTCCTGAATGCACAGCAGCCATGCTGTGATCACTTGAACAAAAGCCACACACCACAGATGGCAGAGCAGGAAGATACTCAGCCTGATTCCTGAACATCCTTTGTGCAGCTACTCCAGCCTGGGTTGCCTGCCTTCATCCATCTTGTTACAGGAGAAAAAGACACCTCTCACTTGTTTAAGCCACTGAAGTAGTTTTTTGTAATTGTGTTTGTTGTTGTCGTTGCTGTTAATTAAAAATTAATACAATCTTAGTCGATAGTTAGATCTTTATTAATAAAAATCCTGAAATGTAAGTATAAAGAAAATAATGCAGTGTTGAAGTATTAACACATGCTTAAATGATCTTCAAATATGATCATTATATCTAGAGATATTCCAAAAATATTCAGTGAAAGAAGGAATTAATCAGTCTTTTTTACCTGGTATCACTGCCATGGAAAGATGATATGACTGGATGGGTGTCCTGGCAGCTCATTCTTTCCTGGAATATTGCACATGCCCTGCTTTAAATGAAGGAAGTTTTTACTTAGGCACTTAGTGTTTTTTGAGTATGCTTTCTCATCCTTTCACAGAATAAAATTGACGTTAGACTGGGAACAATCTAGACCCCATTGACAGGATATGCCAGAGGTGGGAAAAAAAGTGGTTCAAGAGGAGGATGAATTTGGAAAAGGATGGATTAGAAGAAATGGGGAGTAAAGTTACCAGTTAATTTATAGCTGGAAATAGTCACAAACCAATTCTTCAAGCCCACAGGCCAGAGGTATCTCTCAAGTTCACCCAGAGCTGTTGCAAGCGAGCCCAAAATCAATGGAGGCCTCCCCCAGGGAAGAGCCTATATTGAACTCACCCTTGCATCTCCAGCAGCTGAAGGCATTTAATACATTCGGGTCTGGTGGGTGGGCGAGTTAAAAGACAAGCATGGACAGAAAGGGCCCTAGTTAAGCCCGAGAAGATTTTAGAAGCTTTTTGGATCTGGATTTCTAATTTTGTCATCCTCAAAAAGCTCGGCGTCATATAACTTGGTGTCAGAGTTGCGTTTCATTCAGGAAGCACATTTCAACAGCCATAAAAAAATTAAAAAGTAAATTTTATCTTTATGTCTTTGAGAGATCCGTAATTACTCCACAACAAACTTACTAAAATGCTATGTCAAAACTCTAGTCACTTCCTCACTCAGCTCAGTCATGTAAGCTCTCCAACCTTACCTCCCACAAAGCCAAGTTTCCCTCTCCTTCCTTTCTTCTCACTCAGCCCATTATTATGTGATCTGCTTAGTATCTCTTCCAGCAAGAATTTCTTCTTTAGGATGTTGAGAAAGGAGAACTGGAGTTGGAATTTAATTATGGGATGTCTCTTGCAAGACAGGATAGCAGGAAGTCTATGGCTATTCTCATGTTAATAATTTTGCCCCATAACATCAGTTAAATTATATCTCCATGTACTTTTTTATTGCTATAAAATTCAGATTATAATTGGAATCAAATGTTTAAAAGACTGATCAATCCAAAATTGTTTAATAAAGTAGCACATTTCAAAATGGAGTGCCTTGTAGAATTTATAGCCTTGTTCATTGCATGTAACTAAAATTAAAACAGTATCAAAACACATTAGCCAGGGTCTTCTTTATCACCTTCTTGCTCCACTTCACAGAAAAATTAACAATACATCTGAAAGTCTTCCACAGAAATAGTGCTTCACAAAAAGCAAACAAAATAGAGGAGCTGGTTGGAGAGCCAAAGTACAGTATGTTGGACTGAATGAGAACCTCAGAGTTGCAGAATATCACACCCTGAATGAACCTTCCATTTTAACCCCATACTAAACTCCTCAGTTGAGAACTTGGTAAACTAAGGCCACCAACACTAAACGGCCTTCTGAAGTTTTAGTGGTTAGACGCAGGGCCAGACTAGAATGTAGTTCTGATTATTCCAGTCCAGGATGCTGCTTGCTAAACTCCACGCAGGTCTTTGTACATCCATCTGCCTTTGAATTTCCTGGCACCTGCCTACCTGCATTCAGACTTCCTCTGGGATCCACATGTGGACCTGTGGCGCAGCCTCTTGCTTGGCCAGGTTGGGCAGGGCATCAGCATTCCAAAGCTAAGAGAATAAGATACACACACACACACACACACCCCCCTCCAAAACTCAGACAGAAACATTATTTTTCCTTTGTTAAGTCAATGCAGTTTTCATCTAGAAATATAGCAAGAGCTCTACCATTTTTTTTTTATTCGAACAACTGTTAAGAAAGGAATGATTATATAGAAATGTTTTTGATGCAGAATTACTGAGCCTGGAGGCAAGGGGCGGGGGCGGGTGGAAGATAATGCCCATCTTCCATTAGCAGCAGGATGTATGTATGAGCACAGAGGACAATCCGGTCCATGCTGTTAGTCAGACAAAGCCTGAATCCTGGAAAAAGCCAACTCTTTGAACAGGAATTAGAGTGTGATCGGCTTAGTTGATGCACAGGGTTAGGTGAGTGCGAGAGGAGAGAAGCTCTTTTTTGTCTTGGTAGCGCTGGGTTTCTTTTCCAGGCACACATACGACCTGCTCCCCCTGCAGCGCACCCAGATCCTCCCATGGAAGCCGCTTCAGTTTCCACTTGGCCAGCGCCGGAAATGGGCTGCTGTGCTGCGAGCGCCTCCCTCCCTCCCCGCGCTTCCCACGTGTGCCAGGAGTCCCGCTCGGCGGGACCGCAGCTGCTGCCTTCACTCATTACCTGCCCCTGTCCTGGCAGCTCCTTCAGAACATATTGTTCTTTGGGGAAATACCATGGTTTTTGAACTGAGGACAGATTCTCTTCAGAAAGCAAACGGCAAAACATTAGAAAAAAGAAAAACTCTAAGAAATTAAAGAATTTCAAAACAGAAGACAATCGGTTTTATGCTAACCTTTATAACCTTAATCTTTGAAGCTTCTTCCCTCCTTTAGAGCAATTACTTCTGTGCTGCCAAAAGAAATGAGAAGTGATTTCATCTGAGTCATTACTGTGCTCTCCCTCAAAGGATAGCAGACAGTAATTAGTACTCCACACCAAACCTGCTCAAATTGGACATAAACTGCATTTGTACTTTACAGAGCTGAAAAGGAAGCACTTCTACGTCTTAGAATCTTCCCATGAATTTCTGTCATTTGGCAGAAGTTTCTGGAGTCGTTGCTTCTTATAGATCTTTTCTACTGTTAACTTAAAAAAAACAGACTTTTAACAATTGGCAAATGGCACCACATTACCTTCGGAGTGAAACACCATCTGAAAGCATTCGAAGTAAGGGGAGGGGAAAAGCTAGACTCCCATTTTAGTTTCCTGGTAATATTGAGATCTAGGAATTCATCCTAGAAGCTATTTGCCATTTCCAAAGTGGCTAGGACAGCCCATCAATGAGGGCAAAATCCTCAGGGGCAACTGGACACAAGTGTTCCTTTTTGGAAGAGTTTCTAAATAGCCACAGACATGCAGGTGTTGGGCATTCATGTATGCTGGACCCAGAAAAGCTTTCGTCAGAAAGCCATCCAGCCATCCAGAATGTGGTCATGGACTGGGTAAAGCTCCCCCCGAGTATTGTGGCCCTTAGAGGGTTCCCGAAACATGGTTCAGGGAGGGCAAACCCAAACTCTCTGATTCCAGGCAGCAGAGCTGAGAGTTCAAGGACACCAAGGCGGCTAGAGCTCACAGGACAGAGTGAGAGAGAAGGGAGCTGCAGAGAGAGAATCCAGGTCTGCAGAGGATCCCTTTGGACAATGTAGCAATATCTGTTAACTTCTTAGAGTCGTTAAGGCTGATTCATGTTGTCTCACAGGAACACGGCACAAGTGACAATATACAAAATACTTCGGTTTTATTTTCAAGGAAAAGCACTGTGAGACTTGATTTGTGCTGTCCAATTCAGTAGCCACTAGACACACATGGCCACTTAAATGTAAATTAATTAAAAGTAAATGAAGGTTAAAAATGCATTTCATTTTTCATTTCGCGGTGGCTCACGCCTGTAATCCCAGCACTTTGGGAGGCCGAGGCGGGTGGATCACAAGGTCAGGAGATCGAGACTATCCTGGCAAACACGGAGAAACCCCGTCTCTACTAAAAATACAAAAAATTTAGCTGGGCGTGGTGGCAGGCGCCTGTAGTCCCAGCTACTCGGGAGGCTGAGGCAGGAGAATGGCGTGAACCCAGAAGTCGGAGCTTGCAGTGAGCTCAGATGGCGCCACTGAACTCCAGCCTGGGCGACAGAGCAAGACTCCGTCTCAAAAAAAAAATGCATTTCCTCAGTTGCATCAGCTACATTTCAAGAGCTCAATAAACATCTGTGGCCAGTGGCTACTATATTGGACAGCACAGAGAACATCTCCAGCACTGTAAAAAGTTCAACTGAAGAGTGCTGGAATATACAGTTTTAAAATACTTAAGAAAAGAATATCATTTTTAGAACCAAGTCTTTTGACTTTCTCTTACACCAAGATTTTTGTATATGTATACCAATTTGATCTTGAATTTATTTTAAAAAATTGAAAAAATGTAAAGCATTTCGAGATACGACTTTTAGTATCAAGGACATCTTATAACAATTCTTTTAATCGCCATCTGTTTTGTAATGAAATATGTCTAAAGAAGGCACCAACTTAACCTTCTTAGGCAGATGTCCGATCAATGGGTTGTCAAAGGAAAGGCACTAATATTCTTCCTGATAGCTAGTTTCAGCAATAATAAATTATTTTGCATTTCTTTCCAAATGTAGGTTTGATTGGACAGTTTCTTGAATCACTTGTCTAGATTTTCTCATCCTAAAAGCTCATGGTATTGACATGTTTCTCCTGAATATGTAGATATGTAGACATTTTGAATATATGGTTATAACAACAGTGTATAATGAGCTCAATTCCACTTACTTCTGACAAATAAATTGGAAACAGAAGAGCCTTTTCCATCATTATTAAGGGCAGGCATTTTCTCCAAGGCTATGAAAAACGGTTCCTCTTGCTGCCTAAGCAGTTTCAATTGCAAAAGCAATTTACCACCATATGGATCCCTCCAGGAGACTTCAACTAGAATAAAGAGGGAAATCTACTCACATGGGGACTCTGGGGCTTTATGGAAGATAGGGGCAGAGTTCTTGGAAATTAATTATAGAAAACAAGCCCACACCTCATCCCAGTCCCCCTCTGAGGGTAATGTGTTGCCCAACGGACAGCACCGTGGGGTGGCTGAAGATAGCTTCTCCATGGAAATGGAGAAGGGATTTATGGTAGAGTCAATCTTTGCAGCAGCATTCCCAGGCTATGAATGCCACAGTTTCCCCAGGCCTTGGTGAAAGCAGGCTGAGATTGTACTAGGATGGAGGGGATGTACCAGAATCCTTCAAGACTAACATTATTTTATGTGAAATTTGACAAAGGACTTTTAAACAGGAATGAGATCTCTGACGTGTGGAAGATGTAATGACACAAATGCATCATGAAACGTGAAGGCATCTAAAGGCACAACATGGTGGGGCATAGGGTGGGACTGAACCAATGAACAAGGGTCATCACCTGAAGAATCATTCTTCTCTACTTCTTTCATCCCAAGTGTCCCAGCAACATGAGACAAATTTCATTCTTAAGCTATTCTTTCTTAATCCCTTAGCTTTTTGCTTTGGAATCACTGAACCACTAATATCAAGTTCAGTTCAGTTACCTTTTAGAAAGTTCAGTTGCCTTTTATAAAGAAAGCTATTAAATGTGTTTTGTAAAAGCAATGACATATACTCTATACATATACTTGGAAAGGGGTAATTAATACTTTGATTTTTTGAGGTTTGTTATACTCAGCTACTATCTTGTGTTAAACAACAGTAACTTCAACTGTCTTATTTTCATTAATATTCATAGAATATTTAATATGTCACCTAAAATAATTAATGTATTGATATACTGAGAAGAGTTACATAAAACATTGTAGGAGATTACTAAGATATCTAGTAAAATCTGCCTCAAAATCCTTGTACTTGATTGAAATGACACAATTATCAACTTAAAGTCCAGCATTCCTAGATTCAATGAGGAAAAAACACCCTTACTGAGAAATTGTTAATATAATATTAATAGTCCATCAATAACAATTTTCTAAAACAAAGCTGTAGATTTTCATCACAGTTCAGGATACATACAGACTAATCCAGTTAACAGATGCAAGCATTTAATAGTTGGCCTGGGTTGGAGCACGACTTTGAGGAAGGCACCTAATTTCTCCGGTTTTGAAAGACTGGCTCATAAAAATAAAGTATGGAGATGTCATAGTGAAGAGGTAAGTCTTTGGGGGTTGAATAATGTTCTATTAGAGTAAGTTCAGCAGAATTTATTGAAGTATTGGTGAGCACTACTATAAAACAGAAGCCAGAAGTGAAGTAGAGGTTCAAATCCATACAGTAGCCTGGCCTGTTCTATCACCCCTGGACCCATGTGTATATATATCTGCAGCCATCGTTGGCCCCACCTAGACCCTGCATGTATGTGTGGGGTATAAGTCAAAGAGGATGCAGTCTTTCAATGTCATTTCTGAAAAGGTAGCTGATTTACATGGCAGTTTTCATAGAATCTAAATGAAAGCATTCATTCTTACTGATTTTTACCTTTTGTAAATAAAGAAACAAAAGACAATGTAGGCCAACTACTAATACAATAACTCAAGCCTGCAATCCCAGCATTGTGGGAGGCTGAGATGGGTAGATCACTTGAGGCCAGGAGTTCAAGACTAGCCTGGGCAAATATTTAGACGCTGGTTCTAAAAACAATACTCAAAAATTAGCCAGGCATGGTGATGCACACCTGTAGTCTTAGCTAATTGGGAGGCTGAGGAGGGAGGATCACTTGAGCCAGGAATGTGAGGCTGCAGTGAGCCATTATCCACCACTGCACTCCAGCCTGGGCAACAGAGCAAGTCCCTGGCTCTACAAAGGAAAAACAACAACAACAAAAAAAAGCATGTGCATGTGCCACACTGAAACACACAGTGCAATAGGGATATGTGTCAGAAGCCTTGGGTTATAATTCCTGCTCCGAAGGTGATGCGACTCCAGCAAGTTCTTTTACCTAAGTAGGCTTCCACTTCCTCAACTGACAACTGAGATTGGATATGGCTGTGTTCTCCACTAAAATGCCAACAGGAATCAGATGCAGCCTGGGCTTAAGAAGATAAAGGAATCATACTGGAGTTCCTGCTGGGATGTTGAAGACTGTGAGAAAATGGAGAGTCCTTGCCTCCTACTGAGGACTGTTAGTATGCAGCTTTGGTCAGTTGTCTTCAGCTGGGAATGCAGGCTCTGCATTGTCATACTATCAGATTTTTCAAAAAACTGCACAACTTCCGATTTTCATGTCAAATATTCTTGTTTTTAAATATTGGTAATTGAAGAATTAAAAAAAAAAAAAAAGACCAGTGCAAAGGCCAAACTAAACATCTCTATGGGGAATGGGGCCTCTGCTGCTATTCTGTGACGTCGGATTACAAGCTTCTGGTCTGTGCCTACTCTGTGGCTCTAGTGGTGAATGGAGAAGGGTGATCTGTGACACTGAGCACTAACTCTAGGCACCACTCTACTGAATCTTCTTTCCGTTTTGTTTCATTAACATATGAACACAGTAGGGAATGAAAGTAACCACAGTTAGGGGAATGGATGCAGTTTTACAAAAAGACAGCACATAAAATAAATGCTCTTCCTGAGTCGGGATCTGGAGGAAATGATAGAGCTGCAGTGTGGTCAATGAGGTCAAGGCACAGAGCAACCGGAAGCTCAGCGTGTAGCTGTTTCCACCTCGGCAGCTCAGGAGGAACATCTCCAAGTTGACTGCAAAGCCCAAGCTGAAGAGGACCCCGAGGTTTCTCACGAGTCCAGCAAAAGGCGTGGTGTCAATGTGGATTCAGTAGGGGTTGGCACACCACTTTTTGGCTATGGGCACGGACCACAGTAGGTCAATGTTGAGCAGTCTAAGAAGCAGGTAAAAACCAAGTGCAAACAGGAAGAGGAAGAGATTGGTCTTTAGGTATGTGCCCAGGCTGGCCGTTTGGATGCCTGGAGTGTGTTCAAAGGCCTCTGCCACCAGCATGCCTGAGGATTGGAAAGAGACACTGACGATGACTGTGTGCCCTTGAGCCCCTCGAGGATCATTCCTCTCTGCGTTAAAGAATTTGCCACATTTTCAATGACAAGGGGCTTTAGACACAGAGGTTCTATCCATTTTCTAAAGCCTTTTTTAGGCAGTAACTAAAAATGCAGGTTTGCCCACGGTGTTTTCATTATTCATACTAGTCCAGAAGGATCGTTCTGGAGTTGGTGGCACTGACTGACAACCCACTTTTTAGACAGCACTGATCTAGGTACTTGCAATTAACATTTCAATTGCCATAGCCAATTAGCCTTTGAAAGGTAACATGGTGCTGAACAGTGGAAACTGAGTCGTGGTGAACACTGCTTCAGGAATACAAAGCAGCTACTAAATGAAATCCGTAATCATGTAATAGTCACTTCACGTGTTTCAGAGAGAATAGCACAGTGTGCAGGTCTCAGAGTCATTAAGTTCGCCGACGCAAGACTCAAGCACACTGTCTGAAGTGATGGTTTGGGAGTTAGACTTAGCTCTAATTTCACTTCAGAAAAGCCCATCTCATGAAGCAATTTGTGCATTTATGCCACTGAGACCGTGCCACTTTGTACAAGGAGGCTATGAGAGGTGTGTTGCACCACGTCAGCTCCCAGGGTAGCATTTAGTATCAGTGACTTCACAGAATTACCTCTGAAATTGGAAAGTTGATTACCGGGGAGAATCTGATACCCTTAAACAAATGAAGCTAAAGCTTTCAAAGGACACAACTAAGGGTAAGTGATCATATTTACCACCAATTACTCCAGGAATAACTTGATGAGGAAAATGTGTTGCTATGAGTACTCTGGAGATGCAGACACTGATTTGAATCAACCAAAAAACACTCCAAAGAAATGACCAGGTCAGTCTACGATGGAAGAATAGATACAAGTGTAAAAAGCAAAGAAACTGTATCACTCCTAAAATTAGAGAGGATGACATCAGATGATCCTTCTCAGAAGAATCTTCTAACTGTGACATAGCATCATGATTCGAGAATCTTTTTTTTCAAAACGTTGTTTCCACATACTCCATAGGATGTGAAAAGTTTTAACAGAGATTTCTACATTTCTCAATGCATTAAATTTAACCAGTGCTATATGCTGAGATTTAATAAATGTTAAAAAGGAAGTCAATTTGACCTCTATGAAATAAGAATAATTGTTTTAATAGAATAGGAGAAATTCAAGTTTGGGGGAATTACTAATATCCAGATTGATCAAGGATGAACCATATATATTTTCATGCCCTGCCCTATGTGCCTTCTCTCTCAACCTTTCTTTGCTTGAGGAAAACTCAGTAGAAAAGCAGATACCATCCAGATGAAAAGCACATGAGCATTCCATCTGAGGCTAATTTTCATGAGGTTTAATTTCGCGGATTTTCAAAACTCCTTGTTTCTTGTTTTTTGTTTTTTTGTTTTGTTTCGTTTTGTTTTGTTTTTGAGACACAGAAAATAGAGAACAGGGAAATTGACCTATAGGTTATATACTTTGGATTAGAAACAGCAATGCACAAAAAACATAAAAAATATTAAAATCCAAGCAATGCATGTCATTGAAAAAAAAAAGTGTTAGCAGCATTGAGTTCCAGGAATCCTTGAATGGTTTGTTCCTGATAATCAGACTGAAATTTGGTTATATAAATGCTAAGGAACACAGAGAAATGAGGCTTTGAAAGAAGTAAGCAGGATATCAGTGTGGAAGAAGAATAAATAAGAATTTGGTAATGTAAAAGTAAGAAGCACACACTCAGTAAAATTTTATAGATGAAGAAAATACTGCAGTTATAAAAATTAAAAAGGAGTTATGAGAATTTTTTTCTTAGAAGAAACATATTTTTTCAGGTTTGGTCATTGGAGGCAGGAATACAGTATAGATAAAAGGTGAAACTGACCTAGATTCCTACTTTGAAAACTGTCTGTGAATAGAAAATGCTAACTTTTTTACATTATAACACCTTTTTACTATTGTTGTTTTGGGTTGGGTAATAAATACATTAAGGCATACAGGTCCCAGTCTCATTAGAATAAACTTTTAAGATACCAAAATTCCTTTAGTTGTTTGTTTTTTATATTATCCAATACTAATCTAAAAAGTGGAATATGTGATAGATCTTGAAATTTTTTTATTTTAGAAAACTTTTTAATCATGGTATATGTTATAGTATTTTTTTAAGGTTAACTTGCAAATCTAATTTAAGTTGCCTAATTTATGGCTAAATTGGTACTCACGATTGTTTTAATGACAAAGTATTTCAGGAAAGAAGAGAAGGAAACAACCCAATTTCTAAACAACTGTGAGTAACCTTCAAGTTCTAGACCTTTCTAAATATTAAGAAACCTACTAACATTAAATCTACTAACATTCAAATTTAAGTTTGCTTCTAGAATGTTTTTAATTAAAAAGTTTGTGTACTCTTTAAAGCTGGAATATATGTTACTGAAATCAAAAGCATTGGCTATTCAAAGAAGGAAGCATAATTTTACTAAATAAACTGATGCAGTCAAGGAGAATGATGATTCTCAAAACTTCCTGTTAATTTTAAAGCAAGGGAATGTGCATGCAAAAATGTTTCCTCACGCTGTATAATTTTAGATGACGTATTTATGAGTTATCAAGATAATTATTGCATTTTGGAAACCCAGAGGCACATTTAGTAAGTCTTTCATCAGTTAAACATTTTCAACTTGAAAAGCGGAAATAGCTATGAGCTAATTAGGCTATTATCTTAAAGGAAAATATTAGTTTTCTATTCATTTTGTTATTTTGTCTATGAAAGAATAGAATAAGCACATTTTATTCATTGACTAAAACTGCACTAAAATTAATTTTTAGATGAGACTTTCTGTATTAAAAACTGTTGTATTCCAGTGTTACAGAAACTGCAGCAAGGCTGACCTGTGCAGAGTGATAGAGAACTTATCCATTCCACAGACAGTGTGGCTCAGGGCAGCAGTTACCATGACATACCAGACACAGGACGAACCCATTGCATGGCCAGATGGACTTCCTGCAACAACAAAATGTCCGTCCATTTGAAAAGTGGTTAACTATCAAGATAAGAAATGAATAATAGAATAGCATATTCACCATGAAAATTATGAGTAACTCAGAAAAAAATCACAAGACATAGGCTAAATATAATGTTTAGAAGTGGGTAGAAATAAGAAAAATTGAGTTACATTGAGCCTGAGAAACACTGTCTCAAAAAATTTTTTCCCAGATTTTCAGGTTCATTCAATTCCAGAAATCATATACTCAAGGCTCATTAAGAACTCAGTCTGTTGCACCCAAATCTGCCACAGCCCTACTAATTCTTCAATATTTAATTGTTTTTTAATTGACAAGAAAAAGTATTAGGTTAATGCGAAAGTAACTGCAGTTTTTACCATCGAAAGTAATGGCAAAACCGCAATTACTTTTACACCACCCTAATGCTTGTATTCGATCTTCAATTGGCTTATTTTCCTTGGGCTGAGAAGTCAAACTCCAAAGGATATCATTGCTATGCCTGTGATTTGCTGATTGATTTATAAATGACTGCTGTGTACTAGCAGTTACTTCTATGCCTATCTTGTGGCCACTGCAGTGAGAATCTTTGTTTTAAAACAGAAGATGAGGAGAAGCTGTAAAGAGGGCATTAATCCTAGCAGAAAAAGCCTGCAGACAGTTGCATTTCTACTTCCAGAATGTCTTTTCCATGCTACTGAATTTTTTATTAATCACTTTACTTAAATGTCCTCCCCGATTTTTCACCTAGTAGTTCATTCAAATTAAATACCTGTCTCTTATTTGTTAAACAAAGACAGACCTATTTCTTATCTGCAGAAAATTTCAGAGCCTTTTAAAAACTATGCCTAAATGAATTGGACATCCCCCAGAGAGATGCAGTCTTTCTTTCCTCTCTCTCTCTTTCCAGAAAATGTCTTATAAGGTGGAACACATGCCAGAAAGGGCTGGAATTGACCACGATAACATTTCAGTGGTCTCAAATGTTATCCAGCCAACCATTCATCCATTTATCATAGTTCGGTTTCACAAAGATAAAATATGCATCATCCCTCCCCTGATGGAATGCCCAGTCTAGGCGATCAGATATATAAATAATTAGTTATATCATTTAGCGTAATAAGCGATGTGACAGATGTATGTATACTTTTATGGGAACAAAAAAGACATATTAGAAAACTCATTAGGAATTTACACATTCTCTACTACCCTTAACTCTACTCAGAGTTAGTTTCGAAGGATGTCAATTGGCAAGAAGGTTATGCTATGTAAAATGATGAGGTACAATATAGCACATTCCTATAAATTAAAACATGTACTTTTTAAATATATGTTTCAAAAAACTTTTTAAAACAGGCTTATAATCAACTATCACAATAAAGACTTTATACTCATACAGAATCTTAATTAGAATAAAAAAGAAGTGGCCCAAGAAGCCTACTTGTGTACAGAGAAAAAAAATACGTTTTAAAGAGATTGTTCTAGGGTTAGAAATAGTCTTTACTGGCTATAGTAACATTGAGAAGTCCTTACCTTTCTTACAAAAGACTTGACTATTCCTCCCTCATTCATGAGATTCTCAGAAGACCTATAATAACTTTGAAAGTTGCTTAGCAGCAGATAAACCAACATTTCTAAGATCTTAGTCTAGTTCCTTGATAATTTGTTCTAGTTAACTGTTTCTTGTTTTAGTATCAAGCCATTACATTCTTCTGAAAAGTAAACACCAAATATTTAATCATTTGGGGAGTTTTCTCCCAATCTACCCTTTCATAAATAACAAAATGGAATTTGAGGTGTCTCTTTTTTTTTTTTTTTTTGCTTTGCTTTCTCATTAGTAATTTTGATTGTTATGAAGTTTTAGCGTCCTCACTCATGAGATTTTCTTTACTACCATATATAATATCAGTTACTAGATGATAACCCTGTGTAATGATTCTCTATTGGAAGACCTTCAGTAACTGGAGGCTGCCGTAATAGCTTACCTGGACCTGTTTCACATGTAGTAGGGAGCTGTTCAAGGCATGGACTTGAGTGATTTGGGTAAATCTGAGTTTCTTGGACCCACCAGTAAGGTCGATGACCAAATAATATCCTGTATTTAAAGAATTATAAACATGCATATATATTTACACACACAGCTATTATTTAATTGGAGATTAGCAATTCTTTCCTATAAAACATGACTCAAGCACAGGGTTAATTGTGAAAGTTCATGATTAAGAGACTTTGAAAATACTTAGGTCCTGGTCTCTCACACATTATTAAAGGTGGTAGTCATTTGGGATTTTGGCACCCTGGTTTCCCATTAACATGGGGGCTTTTTTCCCTTGCAGGGAATGTCTTATGGGTGCTTTGGATACTTAGACTGGAGATATCAAAATGGTCTCTGGAATTATCAATGTGTTCATTATCATGCTGCTCATTTAAGTAATTCTTAATAACAGAATGTGTGTTACAGGGGCATGGGAATTACTTATAAGTCATTAAAGAATACATTTCTGGCCCAGCGCAGTGGCTCACACCTGTAATCCCAGCACTTTGGGAGGCCGAAGCCAGTGGATTACTTGAGGTCGGGAGTTACAGACCGGCCTGACCAACATGGAGAAACCCTGTCTCTACTGAAAAGACAAAATTAGCTTGATGTGGTGGCGCATGCCTGTAATCCCAGCTACTCAGGAGGCTGAGGCAGGAGAATTGCTTGAACCTGGGAGGCAAAGGTTGCGGTGAGCTGAGATCGCGCCATTGCACTCCAGCCTGAGCAACAAAAGTGAAATTCCGTCTCAAAACAAAACAAAAAAAAGTATACATTTCTGTGCTTTTTAAAAGTTCTACTTATGAATCTGGTGTTTCAAGTTAACTGGTATGTTTGAAAGATTTCGCAAGAGAAACAATATACATCTGAAATGTGATCATTATGCCAAAGCCACAAATATAAGGATAAATCTTAGGAAAAATGAAATAAAACAGAAATCTTACCATTTAAATATAAGATTGAACCAATCCCCAATGACTGCTACCCATATCATCTTGGTTCCAACTGTCTGATTAAGTTGAAACTAAAGCGGAAAATAAATGAAAAAGATATTCTGGGGGTCTCCAATATTGGACATAAAATTTAGAAAATTGTATTAAGCTCGGTAGTCCTTCTGCAAATGCTGAATTATGAGCACTCCATTCCTGTGAGGAAATCCATCTTGAAAAAGAGGCAATTCTAAACATAGAGCACTTGGAGCTGAAATGCTCTGATTCCCACCGTTTTTATACCGTGCCTTTGTGGCGTGTTGAGACATTACTGCAACATGTGATGCTGACCATCTGTGGAGAGGGCACACCGGCCCTCCTCTGCTGAAAAGCTTATCTATTCATGATTTTAATTGGTGGCAAAGGGTGAAGTACCTGCTGATCTGTGGCAATTTGAGGGGGAAATTCGGATAGAAACACAATGAATTTCTTATGCAACCTCCCTTTTGAATTAAACAGTTGAATCTTGTTTGTTTGAAATTTTTTGTACAGTTCATTTCCTCCAAAGTCAGACATTAGCAATTTCTATATTTGGTGAAAAGACTTTGCAAATAATTATTGCATGTCGAATAGCCCATAAAGTGCTGCATTTTAATTTAAGATAGGCTGTGTCTCTCTACTTTATTGGGTCTTTGAGGAAAATGCTTGAATAAATGCCTGGGTATGAAAAATATATGATATGACAGATTATCTTCTGATCACTGATTTAAAATAAGAATCTTCAATTTTCTTTATCCAAGAGAATGATAGACTATATATGGAACAGGGAAAGAAATGTGTTGCTTTTTGACTATAAGACAAGCAAGCAGAAATGAAAGTCATTTGGCTAATAGAAATGTGTTAGGATCAAATTATATCTTTTATTAACTAGAGAATACACTTGAGAGGAATGGGGAATGATTCATGTGACAAAGATAGGAATAGACTTCAAAGGGCTTTTGACCAGTCAGGAAAATGGTTTCTTGAGAACAGTGTTAAGCAGAAGTGGAAAGCACCAAACAAATGCTGAGAATGAACAGAGGGGTAGCACAAAGAGACTGTGGATCTAAGTCACAGGTCCACAATCTATGGCTGTGGACTATGACTAGACTATGGACCAGGGCCATGGTCCTGGACTATGGACTACGACTGGACCATGGACTATGGACCAGGGTAGACTGACAATGAACAGAAGGGTAGCACAAAGAGGCTATGGATCTAAGTCAGAGAGATGTTGGGTTTAGAGAACTGGACTGTGTCTAGAAGGATTAGTGGGAAAGCAACTAAGCCTCACAAGGGGACCAGTGATGGATCTAGGTAACCTTGTTATTTTATCATTCGGATTTTTGTCTTGGCTTACCATGGCCTAAGTAAAGACAAAAGACTTCAGTAGAGGCCTTCACAGGCTATGACTATCACTTTGAACTTCTCTTCGAATTTTGTGTCCCATCATTTAACAGCACCATTGTTACTGGGCTTCAGTGTTTATTGGTACCTTGCCTGGAATAAATGCATTGACTGACCATTAACATCTTTTGGAGTGTTTTTTAAATTGCCATAACTGTGTCCCACCTGAGATCATTTATATTTCTAGTGATGGAATTTGGGCATTGGTATTATTAAAATAGTTCTCAAGTGGTCCCAATGTGGTATAAGGGGCTTCAGATCATTGCGCTAAGGCAATCCATATAAGGAATTAGCCTAGACTAATTAGAGTCTATGCTTCGGGCTTTTTTTTGTTTTGCATATTCAGGTTCTATAATTTCCATAATCTCTTTAACGAGCCATGAAGAAGAGCATAACTTCCCTTTATTCTTTTTCTAAAAAGTGTTTGATCTACATAATTCATAATATTCATTTTCTTCAGAAATGTCTTATCCTTAAATCAGGATGTGAATGATATCAAATACATTTTGTCTTCCAATTAAAAATTAAACTTCCTGCTCTTCAACACCTCAGAGTCTGTGATTAGCCTTTCATCTATGGTAGTTAATTTAGAAAGATTGTCTCCCGAGAACTATCTGGTTCTGTAGACTGTGGGATAATTAAATGAAGCAAAAGCACCTTGATTTCTTTCACCCTTTAACAGCACCTACTAATCTGCTTATTCCTCATAATTCATCATTTTTAGTCTTTTCGCATCTTAGCTTCTATGCATCTGTCAGTGATGCCTTCTCTAACCAGCATCCTCACCACTCCTCTGACAATGGTTTCTCTCAAACACTCTTTTCTCCTAGGGAGTTGTATGAGTCTGCTAGGGCTGCCATAACAAAGTACCAGACTGGGTGACTTACACAACAGAAATACAGGAAACTAGGAGTCTGAAATCAAGGCATCGGTAGCATTGGTTTCTTCTGAGCCTGTGTCCTTGGCTTGCAGGTAACTGTCTACTCTTTATGTCTTCACATGGTCTTCTTGCTATATGGGTGTGTTCTAATCTCCTCTTTTTACAAGGATACCAGTCTTATTGGATTAAGGAAGATACTAATGACCTCGTTTCAACTTAATTGCCCCTTTAAAGATCCTATCTCCAAACACAGTCATTTTGGGAGGTACTGGGGCTCAGGACTTCAACATGAATTTGAGGGAACACAGTTCAACTCATAACCGGGATTTAAACACAATTTATAATAATGTATTTGTGACGAGCGTATATGTTTAGTATCTCTCTCCTGCACTACAGTATAAGCTCCATAAAACAAGGGGTCCTGTCCACTTTGTGCACCAGTCACAAGCACAGTTCCTGTAACAGGCCTGTATAGAAGCCAATCGCCCATGAAGCTGGAAAAGCTCGCATGGGCCCCTAAGATGGTAGGTTGGGCCAGGCACAGTGGCTCACACCTGTAATCCCAGCACTTTGGGAGGCTGAGGTGGGCGGATCACCTGAGGTCAGGAGTTCAAGACCAGCCTGGCCAACATGGTGAAACCCCATCTCCACCAAAAAAAAAAAAAAAATACAAGAATCAGCCAGGCGTTGTGGTGGGCTCCTGTAGTCCCAGCTACTCGAGAGGCTGAGGCAGGAGAATCACGTGAAACCCGGGAGGTGGAGGTTGCAGTGAGCCGAGATCATGCCACTGCCCTCCAGCCTGAGCAACAGAGTGAGACTCCATCCAAAAAAAAAGGCAAGTTGTTACTGATAGTTTAGAGTGTATTCACAAGTTTATTTTCTTTTTATTAAAGAGAGGGCCTATATAACAGGGGCTTTATAGAGGGGCCTATATAAAGTCATATAACAGGGGCTTTAGATTTCACAAAACCTGGAACTGCCCCTGGGCCCATCATAGTTATTTAGTAAATGTTTATTGAGTGAATGAATTATTGAACAAAGTTGATATGAGTACTACATTATAAAAAGCCTGTGTTTTAAAACTATCTTACTTACTTGGTTAGTGCAAACTCAAAATGCATTTCTCCACAGAGATCATGTTATATAGTAGCAATGTCAAGAAAGTGTATTTAAGGTGGAGAAAACATAATGTGTATTCTAGAAAGGGCTAATATATTTGTGTGTGTATATATATGTGTATGTGTGTCTGCATGTGTATACATACATATAGAAATATGTATGCAAAATATGTGTATATGTATATATACATATATTAGCACTTTGTGTGTGTGTGCATATATGTATATAACATATATTTGTTATATATATACACATATATGTATATAACATATATGCACACACACAAAAACATACACATCTGCTTAAGATTAAATAGAATAGAAGATTCAACAATTAAAAAAAAATTTGGCCAGGCTTGGTACCTCACATCTGTAATCCCAGCACTTTGGGAAGCCATGGTGGGAGAATCACTTGAAGGCAGGAGCTTGAGACCAGCTTGGAAAATGAAGCAATACCCCACCTCTATTTAGTATATATTTGTTTTATATATATTTATTGTATATAAAATAAATATATTTTAAAATTCTATAAAGGAAAGAAGAGAATAGAGTGAAGGGAACAGGGATAAAAAGCAGACTTCTTTGAATATACTTATTTTATAGATTTGACTTTGAAACCATGTAAATATTTTACATAACTATACAGCAAAATTAAAATTAAGATGTGATTCATACAAAATTTTAAAAACGAAAGAAGTGAAAATACCACTTGATCCATTATACTGGTGAGCTATTCGCTTCCAGCTTCTCAGCACTTACATGTATTTTATGATTTGTTCCTGTGGGAAATCTCTTTCTACACATTTCTTTAGTCCTCCTCCATCTGCCATCTGCCTCTCGAGTTGCCACTGCTTAGGGTGGGGATGCTCCTCTATCCTATGTGGGCCCCAGCAATAGGGAGATACAGGAGGTTGGTTCTTTCTGACACTAATCATCTTCCGTTGGAGCTCTTCCCTCCAATGACAGAGCCTGCCTGACAAGCTGGGTCATTTCAAAGCCAAGGTTGTTAGAGTTTAAGGTCTGTGCAAAATCAGTTCACCAAATGATGGAACAAAGTCACATTCAACCTACCCAGACCAAGATCCAAAAGAGGGTAGATCCACCCGTACTCATCCTCTTTTTGAAGTTGTCTTTCCTAAAGTGTGACCTGTGGACGGCCTACCTCCTACCACCTGCATGCAATTTCCAGGCCCACTCCAGATCACAGAATGAGATATTTTGGAAATAAAATCCAGGAAGCGTTCTAGTAAGCTTTCCACATGGTTTCTATACACATCAATTTTTAGAAGCATTGTCTTCATTCATCATTCCCTTGAAACAAGGTTTCTATACTCCTCCTGTACCTCCTATGTGGAGTTGGTCTCTCCTTGTACCACTTTCTCAACTTCTGCCTTAAGCCATTTTTTTTTCATTTGCTTTATTTGGGGGTCTGTATTATTCCACTCTTTCCCATGGATGCAGGCCTGGTCTGTTTCCATATTCTTCCTTTTAGATCTCCTTTTTGTTATCTTTTTTTAAGACACATGGTAAATACCCAAAAAATATTAGCTATAATTAATATTAGTTATTCTTATTTTGCCAAATAGTTTGTAAATGTGGAATTGAATTCAAGCTCTGACATTCTCGATCAGAGTAGAAGTAGGGTAAAAAGATACAATTTTGCTCTTATACACAATTCTTACGTTGCTTCTCTTTTGTATTCTGACATCTCTGCCTCTTCCCCACTCTCTCTGTTCTCTCCTCTCTTTTCTTCTTCCCCCCCACCTCTCACTCTCTTTTTTCCACTATCCTGTCCCCCCCTTTTTTCATACTAAATATTTAGTTATCTAAGTGTTTTAATTGGTCACTGTCAACTCCAACAGAGCAGAGATAAGTCTGAATTGTTCACTATTGCATCTGGGAATCAAGCCAGATGTCCTACACATTAGGAGATGGTTTTCAGAAATTATATAGCCAGCCACCGTTCCCTATGGGATCACCTCCTTTTCTTCCTGTTATAGTAGAACTCTCCATTTGATTCCTCCAAGTGTTCAAGGACCAGAACTCTGCAGTGTTAGAAAAAGCACTTTTAGGCCGAGCACAGTGGCTCACGCTTGTAATCCCAGCACTTTGGGAGGCCGAGGTGGGTGGATCACCTGAGGTCGGGAGTTCAAGACCAGCCTGACCAACATGGAGAAACCCCATCTCTACTAAAAATACAAAAATTAGCCAGGCATGGTGGCACATGCCTGTAATCCCAGCTACTCGAGAGGCTGAGGCAGGATAATCGCTTGAACCCGGGAGGCGGAGGTTGCGGTGAGCTGAGATTGCGCCATTGCACTCCAGCCTGGGCAAAAACAGTGAAACTCCGTCTCAAAAAAAAAAAAAAAAGAAAAAGCACTTTTGGAGTGGAAGAAATCTTTATGTGTCTGTGCTTTTGGGTCTAACCTTAGCCAAATCTTTTCAGTCACCAGGCAGTGCATAACGTGAATTGATTTATTCAGGGGTCAGTGAACTTCCTAAAATTGCATGCAAAATGCGCTTGTACGTATCTCTTGGAAGAAGCCACGATTTTCACCGGATTCTCAATGGAATCCCTGACCCAAGCAAATTAAGTACAGCATGAGATTCACTGGAATCCCATGCACTATACATGGGGCCTATATCCAGGATCCTCCCATTTCCCCAGTTTCCTCAGAGATATCTTCATAACTCCAACCACCCTAGCATGAGTTGCTTGTCTTAATGACATCCTTCCTCTTAATGACTTTTTACAAAAAAATATTTTACTACTATAGTTGGTCCCCAAACCTTATTCTGCTGCCTTGTTTTTTAGTTCATCTCTGTAGTTGAATACTTCCAGTTCTTTCTAGAATGTTCTCATTCTGATTCATTCAAAGTTTTCTGAGATTTTGATTGACAGTAAATCCCTACCTGTATTACTTAGTGGGACAGAGGATAGACTTTCTCCAATATGTTTCACCACATCAAATATTATATAACCGCAAGATATTTCTTATCATAAAATGAACCATTCATCGCTGAGTTATAGTGCTCACGGCGATTCAACACCATTCAGAGATATTTGACTTTAGCTTGTGTTAGTTATAAGGTGGCAGTAAACAAAAATATATTGGAGGCATTGACCTTTAATGTCTCTGCATGGTCATTATCCTTTTACCACAAACTTATCTGCCTTCTCTAAAATAAACTGTATTTGAGATCTCTCCAGGGTCACCTTGCAATGTAAAATGTATTTATTCAAGATGGAATTTAGACCCTAGTGACCTTCAGAAAATCATTACCTTCATTCTGGCTAGCATCCCAGGAATATTGTAACTCCATAATGACACTATTATGAATGACCCTGCTACAGCTGTTCTAAGTACCCCCCTCCATTAGTCTCCTTAGGTACTTTTCTCTAGAAATGATCATGACCTATACATCTATATACTTTTTCTTGGATTACCGAAGGACCCAACAGAGTTGCCCATTGAGCAGTACTATTAACTTTCTTCCAAGTAGTTAATATATTGTATAGCTGTGTTCATTTTTATAGATGACTTAAAGAGTACTGTATAGAGAGATTGTGTAAAGCAGTGACTCTCAAACTTTAATATTCATCGAATTCCCCTGAAGGGCTTGTTAAAACACAGATTACAGGGACTCCGAATCTTTGATTCACTAAGAATAGAGTGGGGTCTGAGACTTTGTATTTCTAAGTTCCCAGATAATGATGATGTTGTTGGGTGGAGAACCTCTCACTTTTGAGAAGCATGAGTCTATGACACTGACAGAGTCTAAGACACTGTACCACACAGGACAGAGATAGATCAGACCTCAAGAATCTTGTGGTCTAGTAGGGAAAATATGATATTTACATATGTCACATACCATTGTGTCCTTAGAGGTGAACAGATAGGGTAAATGGAAAAAAGGAAAGGCAGACATAGCTTTCAGTCTGTGAGATTAGGGAGCTTTTGTGGTGGAAATGGCAAGTGGCTGGGCCTTGAGATATGAGTAGAATTTAGAAATGCAAACTGTAGGATGAAAGGGAAAAAATATTCAAGAATATAAATGAGATAATACCATTATCACACCTAAAAACATTAACATTCATTGATGAATGTATTTAAAAGCTGTAAAATAAATCCTCATTTTTGATATTTATGAGACAATTTAAAAATTGTACCTAGAGTAGTCAGATTCATAGAGACAGAAAGTAGAATGGTGGTTGCCAGGGTGTGAGGGGAGGAAAGACAGATTCGTTATTTGATGGGCAAAGTTTTTAATAAAAAGAGTTCTGGAGATGAATAGTGGTGATGGTGCCATAACACTGTGAATACACTTAACATCCCTTTACTGTACACTTAAAATTGGTTAAGATGGTAAATTTTATGTTATGAGTGTCTTACCATAATAAAAATAACCTGGATATTTTTCTTACTATATTGAATGTTTTCTGAGTGCTTGGGAGATGTAGTCTTTTTTTCTTCTAAAGCTCTGATATCCTTCATCTTTTATTTTTAATTTTAACACTTTTTTTGAGTTACAATTTATATACTATGAACTTCCTCATTCTAAATGTATAATTCCATGATTTTTAATATATTTATAGAGTTGCCAGTAATTGACACAAACCAGTTTCAGAACATCTCCAGTACCCCAGAAAGTTTCTTCATGCACTTTGGCAGTCAGTGCCTGGGTCTGCTCCTAGCCCCATGCAAAAACTGAACTGCTTTCTGTGTCTGGGAATCTGCCTTTTCTGGTTATTTTATGTAAATAAAATCATAGTATATGTAGTCTTTTTCACCTGGCTTCTTTCACTTAGCATAATGTTTTTGAATAGTTTTTCATGAATAAATGCTTCTTAGTTTGCTGTAATCTGTTAGTCAATTTCCAGGTCACTTAAATGGTTGTTTTTGATAATTTGGTCCAGTTTTATAGTTTCTTTTTGGGGGATAAAATTTGGTGACTTCCTTCTACCACACAGATCCAAACCATATCAGACCTCCGGCATAGTGGTGGGAGGTGATTGGATCATGAGGGTGGATTTCTTATGAATGGTTTAGTACCATCCTCTTGGTACTGTCCTTGCAACAGTGAGTGAGCTCTGATGAGATCTGGTTATTTAAAAGTGTGTGGCACCTCCCCCTCCCCCTGATCTTTCTTGCTCCTGCTTTGGCACATGAAGTACCTTCTCCCCATTCGCCTTCTGCCATGATTGGAAGCTTCCTGAAACCTCCCTAGAAGCAGAGCTGCTCTTCTTCCTGTACAGCTTGCAGAACCATGAGCCAATTAAACCTCTTTTCCTTATAAATTACCCAGTGTCAGGTATTTCTTTATAGCAATGTGAGAACAGACTGATACAAGGTCCCAGCCCTTCCTTCCTTCATTTTATTTTATTTTTTTAATTTTGGGAAGGAGATGAAAGAGTCCAGGTGTAAGCTGGCATTGACTCCACTTTGGATACTGTACTTTATAGCAATTGTCAGAAAACTTACTTTCTTTTTTTTTTTTTTTTTTTTTGAGACGGAGTCTGGCTCTGTCGCCCAGGCTGGAGTGCAGTGGCCGGATCTCAGCTCACTGCAAGCTCCACCTCCCGGGTTTACGCCATTCTCCGGCCTCAGCCTCCCGAGTAGCTGGGACTACAGGCGCCCACCACCTCGCCCGGCTAGTTTTTTGTATTTTTTAGTAGAGACGGGATTTCACCGTGTTAGCCAGGATGTCTCGGCCTCCCAAAGTGCTGGGATTACAGGCTTGAGCCACCGCGCCCGGCCCAGAAAACTTACTTTCTTAAATCATCTATTGCAATGTTTGACATAGGCCATTCAGAAATCTAGAAGATAGAAAATTTCTGTTCGAGAATCTTTTCATTTTCAATATTGTAGGTCCTCAACCTGGAATCTGCAAAAAGAGACTCCTCCTTTGAATTCATAGTAACTTTTGTCATTTCTGATTTTCTCAGTGAATGGATGTTGAAAGTGTAAATGTGAATGTCAGCATAAATGTGAATGTCATAAAGAGAAACTTATACTTAAAGGTGGGGAACTTATAGTCTCAACCATGGCATTACTCATGATCATTTCTATCCTTAGCTCTGCCCCGAAAATGCAAAGTATCTACCCAGCAAGCATATGTGCAATAGAGGACAATGATCTTTTATCCTTATACCCCATTATCCTTCACCCATCGTAGAAAGAATTAAATTTTCAGGGGAGGAGCAATAGAGCTTTCAGTCTGAGCAAGACTATAACCACCATCTAGAAACACCTCCAGCCTGGGAACATGTGGCGTCTTTCTATTCCCCACCCTGCAGAAACCTAACCCTGGGTCACAGACTGTATATCCCAGAGAAGGCAGTGCTCAGCTCAGTACATGGAACAAAATAGAAACTCAATAAACTCTGGTTGAGTTGAAATGAAAGTCACGTAATATGTTGGTGGTGGTGATGGTGGAGTTGTGTGAATAATAATGGATCGTTGGGTCTGTTTTCCCCTTCTTAATGCTGAGAAAGCTGGAGGCCCTATTCTGTGCACTGAGCAGAAAGAAGAGCTGGTTGTCTCTAGCTATCCTTGGGGATACGAGAGAAATTATTCAGCCAGTCTTTCAGAAATGAAAATTTTGACAAATGACAAAGAAACTTCTTCCTCACATCCTGACTGGGGAGGAGCACTCAAAGAATAAAAAACAATAGACACCCTGAGGCTGCCCTAATAACCACACATTGATAGGGCGATCACCCCTCTTAGCTGAAGACCCAAAGAGAGCAAGAATCTTCACTAAACAGTCTGATAAAGACCAGTGTAAAAACTTAGTGAGGAATTCATCAACATGATACCAAGTCAGCCCCCTTCCATGAATCTTCTTAAATACTGTCTTCACTAATGTGGTACTGTGGAAACCCTAAAAATGAGTACCAGCACTCAATCAGCCAAAGTTCTGAGAGGCTCGATTCATAAAATTTTGCTTTAAGGTAAATAGTATCAGATATATAAAATCAGAAGTTCTTGGGAAAATACTTGGAAATGAAAGGAGATTTATCGTAGTAAACTGTATGTCTAACTGTATTAATAGCAGTCTCTAGGCTGCAAGGTGACTTTTGGGCATATTGAGAAGTGTTAAATATTCATAATAACTTGTCCTGGTTTCACAGGTCTTAATTTAGTTCTTGGATAAAGAATGGCTAATATCTGGTCCTCTAAGCATGTTGTTTACATATTTATTTCTTGTTGGTGTTTGTATTGTTGATGAAAATGAAAAGAAACTAGTATAGTAACGATCTTTTGGTGTATAATAACAGATTTTATTTTCACAAACATACCATAGTCTAAGATGAAAATAATAACTTTGACCTCATTATTTTGGCCAGCTTTATTTTCCATTCTTCAGAAAGCGTATTCTCTAGGTTCTTTCCCTAGTTTCTTTCTTCCTCAGCTTTACCAAGAAGGATTCAAATACCGAATCCATGTCACCTTTCAGAGTTTCTGAACAACTCAGACTCCCTGCAGCTTGTCTACTCTGGCAAATCCTAGTTGAATACCTTGTGCCTCATTCCTGTCCTCGAGGAACACAGCAGGTGATTTTGATAGTGCTCTAGTTTCTTCCACTTCTGCAAGATAGTAACATAGTGTTCTATTAGGCCTCAAAAACATTGTTAGAGAAGCTGGGGGTGTAGAAAAGAAGGAATATTTTTGTAAGCAGTAAAAACCTATTCTGAGGACCACCTGAATGTTCCTGCCCACTCATAATTGAAGTCAACTTTACAAGGTGAATACAAAGAAGAGGATGTATTTCTTGCAAAAGATACGATTAAAGATCAATATATATATTTGTTCCAGAAACCTTTATTTGAAGCCGATGAGTGACTTGTTGTGGGCGAGCTCTTCGGGTGCTGTTAATACTTTCGGGTCACAGTGGAGACGCTGGTTGTTGTTCAGAAAAGAACTACGAATCCCAGAATGCCCTTTTCCCCCATTTTCCCCGCGAGAATCCAAGGGTGAGTTCAACCAATCCTGTCATGAAGAACCTGTGCTATCGGCCAATCAGAAGGCGAACGTGCGCCTGGAGGCGGGTGGCGGGAAGTGCACTAGGTTTGAAATTGGAAAGCTGGCGGGGCTGCGGGAGCTGAGTCTGGAGCTCGGCTGTTGGCTAGAGTGGGCGCGGATCTGGTGTGGGGAAGGCGAAGGGACTCAGGCCTGCCTGCGAAGGTGAGGAAGGTGGGCGCCGAGCTGGGCTCCTCGGCCCGCCTTTACGATAGGGGAAAGTGAGTTTGGAGGCGGAATGTGTGTATTTGCGGCGGCGTTTGTGAAATGCGCATCTTGTTGCTGTTTGGGCCTCACAGCCTAGTGGAGTGGGCAGCTGCGAACCCAAAGCGCTCTGGGTTTCACTGCAGGGATATCTTTGGTCCTCCTGGGAAGGTTTTAGCGTCGCAGAGTACTGGGGGGTCCAGGATTCTCCCAGGACCTCCTTTTACAGAGGATACTGAGGCCCGAGGTGACTTGCACACATCCTGGGCAGAATCCGCTCAACTCCCACCTTAGTCCCTATTTTACCGTTAACTTTTACTGTTCTGGGGTGGAGGAGAGAAACAGGGTAGAGGTGTGGGGTCTTATTCTATGGGAGGGTGCCGGCCACCTGGCGATACTGATGATCTCTGATCAGAAAGGGTTAGAGTTGGAAAAGGTGATTTAGAAGTCAACGGTTTTACTTGTGAGAAAATGGACCCAGGGTCATAGCGCGTGTAAGTGTCCTGTGCAGTTACACTTACCTACTAACAAGCTGCTAGAAGGTAAAGGTATCCTGAATTCTTGCTGCACCTTAACAACAGTTAAGCCCAGGTTGCTTGATCTACCCTTGAATACCTAGAATTAAAGATAAGTTGCTATTTTCTAGCAAAGGACAAATTGCCAAAATACTGTATACCTGATTGGAATATGTGGCTGATTTGATTTCAGTAACTTAAAAAATGCAATGTGTATTCTGTTTTTAGCATTGTCCTACATAATGGTAGAGGATGAACTGGCACTGTTCGATAAAAGCATAAATGAATTTTGGAATAAATTCAAAAGTACGGACACCTCCTGTCAGATGGCAGGACTAAGAGATACCTACAAGGACTCCATCAAAGCATTTGCAGGTACCTAATGTTAACTTGTATCATGCTGTTTTTGCTGTTCTAGTTTATTTTTTAGCATCATTTCAGCTGAATTGAAAGTTCAATTTCTCTTTCAGAAAAGCTGTCTGTGAAATTAAAGGAAGAAGAACGAATGGTTGAGATGTTCCTGGAATATCAAAATCGTATGTGAAAAAGTATAAATCATGGGTTTTTTAAGATAATACGTCTTTATCATGAAATCTCATACAAGTAAGACAACATATTTTGTGTGCACAAGTGCGTATATGTTGTGTGTGTGTATATATACATGTGTATATATGTGTATATATACGTGTATATGTACACACACACACACACACACATATACATGTGGTGGCTCATGCCTGTAATCCCAACACTTTGGGAGGCCAAGATGGGTGGATCCCTTGAGCTCAGGAGTTCAAGACCAGCCCAAGCAACATGGTGAAACCTCATCTCTACAAAAAATTAAAAAAAAATATATATATATATATGTATATATAGAGAGAGAGAGAGAGACATACACATACACACACAAAATACGTACACATTAACACATATACATGTGCTTATATATAGGAATAAACATTGACATACCATACAACTTAAGAAAGAACATCCTATGTTACACCTTCTTCTCCCACCTTCCACAACTAACCTATCAATATATTGTTTAGTATTATGGAGGTTTTTGTTTTTTGAGACAGCGTCTCACTTTGTCAGCCAGGCTGGAGTGCAGTGGCATGATCTGGGCTCACTTCAGCCTCGACCTCCTGGGCTCAAGTGACACTCCCACTTGAGTGGTTGCTAAGTTGCTGGGACCACCGGTGCATGCCACCACGCCTGGCTAATTTTGTATTTTTTGTAGAGATGGGATTTCACCATGTTGTGTGGGCTGGTCTTAAACTCCTGGGCTCAAGCGGTCTGCCCACCTTGGCCTCCCAAAGTGCTGGGATTTCAGGTGTGAGCCACTGTGCCTGGCCTCTAGTATTGTGTTTTTGAATGTTATATAAATGGCATTCTCTTGTATGTCTTCTGTCCATTTTTTCACTCAGCACTATACTTGTGGGATTTGTCAGTGCCGAGGTATAAATGCCAGTAATTTTTAAAAAATGAGTTTTCACGTTGGAAATCCCAGCCTGGGGATTGAAAAGCTGGAGTTCTCTCAGCTCTGTTAGTACTCTGTCAGTGTTTCTCTCCATAGTTTTACTCCTATTCTTGCCATCTTATTTCTACCACTCTCCAGGTTGTCCAGAGTGAATCAGCAGCTTTTACTGAGACCTGGCAGTTTTTACTGAGTTCTTACACACAGGACACAAACTTGTGTCCACAGTTCAAATTCCACTAGAGATACTCGGTTTAAAGGCACCATGTTTTAAACAATATTAGACTAGAATGTCCTTACATGGGGCATATGTTCTTTCATTTGCAAAATGGGTAGCCTTGACTTACCCACTTCACTTGCTGTGTGACCCATGAAGGTATTTGACTTTGTTACCCGAGTAGATTATTTGCTAGACTTTTACTTTACTCATGTTTACTATTTTTTTTTTTTTTTGAGATGGAGTCTCACTCTGTTGCCCAGGCTGGAGTGCAGTGGCACGATCTCAGCTCACTGCAACCTCTGCCTCCTGGATTCAATTGATTCTCCTGCCTCAGCCTCCCAAGTAGCTGGGACTACAGGTGTGCACCACCATGCGCGACTTTTTTGTATTTTTAATAGAGATGGGGTTTCACCGTGTTAGCCAGGATGGTCTCAATCTCCTGACCTCAGGTGATCCGCCCACCTCGGCCTCCCAAAGTGCTGGGATTACAGGCATGAGCCACCGCACCCGGCCTACCCATGTTTACTTTCTAATCTGCCCTGAAGCTTCCATGCCCTTCACTGCTTCTCTCATTCCCTCTGTAACCATAAGCAAAAAGGAAAACCACTTTTGTTTGCATGTGTGTGAAAGAGTGATATTGAGTTTGAGTTCTTACCTCTTTGTAGGATCCCTAGGCATTAGAAAATTAAGTTTGGAGCTGTCAGTTTTACTACTGTGAGTCTCAAAGTGTACTCTTAAAGATTATCTATAGTGTGAAGTTATGCTCTATATAGTCTAAAATCTAAAAGCGTTATCAATATTTTTCTTTTAAAAATCAGTTTATACTTGGCCTGTAATCCCAGGACTTTGGGAGGCTGAGGCGGGCGGATCACGAGGTCAGGAGATCGAGACCATCCTGGCTAACATGGTGAAACCACATCTCTACAAAAAATACAAAAAATTAGCCTGGCGTGGTGGCCAGTGCCTGTAGTCCCAGCTACTCAGGAGGCTGAGGCAGGAGAATGACGTGAATTCAGGAGGCGGAGCTTGCAGTGAGCCCAGATTGTGCCACTGCACTTCAACCTGGGCGACAGAGCGAGACTCCATCTCAAAAAAAAAAATCAGTTTATACTTGAACAGAAATACAATTTACCCAAGTTTAATTAATTCAATGAACATACGACGGCTATTGCCCAGCAGTTAGGAGAAAACAGTGCATAAAGTATAATCTACTCACAATATTGTGGAGGATATAGATGGGGAAACCACAGTTAAAATATATTGTGCCAGGCTCAATGGCTTGAGCCAAAGTAATCTCAGCATTTTGGGAGGCCGAGGCAGGAGGATTGTCTGAGCCCAGGAGTTCAAGACCAGCCTGGACAATATAGTGAGACCTTGTCTTTACAAACATTAAGGAAAAGTTAGCCAGGTGTGGTGGCGGACACCTGTAGTCCCAGCTACTCAGGAGGCTGAGGCAGGAGAATGACGTGAATTCAGGAGGCGGAGCTTGCAGTGAGCCCAGATTGTGCCACTACACTCCAGCCATAACAGCCACTAACGTTATACCACGTGCCAGGCCCTGTTCTAAGCTCTTTGCATATATTGACTCATGGATCCTCACAACAACCCTAAGAGGTATAGATATTGCTTTTAGTCTTACATGTTAGACTTTTATGACAAAATAAGCACAGAGAGGTTAAGCAGCTTGCTCAAGGTTAGATAGCTGATACTGAAGAGAAATATGATTTGAACCTACAGTCTGATTATACCACGCTACTTTGGAGGAGATCACATACAGAAGAGTTAGGGATGTTTAACAGAGTCAACACTACATTCTAGGAAGAGGAAACAGCACATGAAATGTGGCAGGAACACGAGAGCTTGTTAGGTTCTGGGATGGCTAGATACACTGTGGATGGGGAGTGGCGGAGAAGTGGCTGGTAGAACTGGTTGGCCAGATGGTGGACATTCCATGTTGGGCAAAGGGGGTTAGACTGTTTTTCAGGAGATAAAGAGTTGCTGCAGGATTTCAACCTGGAAAATGATATTGGATTTTTATTTCAGAAGAAGCAATCTAGTAATCATGCACAATAAACAGGAGGGGAGTGAGACTGTTGTCCATAAAGAGACCAGTTAAAGGAAAAACTTAGTGTAATAGTACAGGCACATAATGAGTATGGCTTGGACCAGTGACAGGTCTAAGGACTTAGACTCAAGACTGTTGGCCTGAAGGTGAGAGTATGTTGTGGTCTAGGATGATTCTTTCTGACATGGAGTATGAATCAGTGGTGATGCATTTACTAAGTGAGGGGTTGAAAGAGAGGAGGAGCATGTTTTTATAGGTGGGAAGGAAACATACATGGGTTCAATTTTAAATGTGTTGGGTGAATATGTTGAGTTTATTGTGCAGCAAGTCTTCAGGTGGCGATATCTGGTAGGCAATGGATATATTCATCTGGAAGCCAGCCAGGAAAGTGGTCTTTGCTGAAGATGGGATTTGTGAGTCTTTAATGAATTTGGGGAGTTGAAGCTATGGAAGAATATGTAGAGTGGAAGAAGGTAGCCTTGGTTAGTAATAATATTTATTTACTCATTACTGTATGCCAGATACTATGCTAAATGTCTTACATTGACCATCTCCTTCAGTCCTCATGACAGTTGTCCAGGGTTGGTATTATTTATTATTATTATTCCTACTGTACTGATATTACAGTCCCAGAGAGATTATGATTTGATCATCAGGTTAACTCCAGAAGCCTCACTCATCTTGAAAGCCTTACGTTTTCTCTACAGTTTGAGAGAGGGATAAATGGAAGGGACCAGTAAAGATAGACTTAGTAATTGCAGAACAGAGGAAGTAAGAGAGAAGGTCACTGAAACTAAAAGAGGAGAGAAGCAAGAAAGGGTGTTGTCAACACTGGAAGTCACACGTAGATCCAGTAAGGTAAAGACTGAGATAGATATTATTTTGGGAATAAGAAAGGTGGAGGGAATCTGTTCACTGGCTAAATACTTGTTGAGCTACTGCTCTATACCAGGTAATCTTCTAGGAAGATACTGCAGAGAACAAAATAGCCTAAAGTTCTGGAGCCATAAATTCTAATTATCACAAGAAGGAAGATCATCTGTTGAAGGTGAGAGTCATTTACTATGGGTTGGCTTTTAAGTTATTATAAACCCTGAAGTCTGTCTAAGACAGAGATTATCCCTGTTTTACAGATGAGGAAATTGAAGCTCACTGAGGTTAAGAAACTTGCCTAAGGTCTGGGGGTAGATAGAGGATCTAAGATTGCAACCATAGTGTCTGTGCTCTTTCCATTGTACCATACTGACCTGCATTGGAGTGAAAACGCAAGGAAGGGTTCCTCTGGCGAGTAGGAGTGAAAGTTTGAAATGTTGGTCCTGGGAATAAGACAACCAAGTGTGTACACATGCAATAATAGTCACACAGCAGGCCGGGCGCGGTAGCTCACGCCTGTAATTCCAGCACTATGGGAGGCCAAAGCAGGTGAATCACGAGGTCAAAAGATCAGGACCATCCTGGCCAACATGGTGAAACCCCGTCTCTACTAAAAATACAAAGATTAGGGATAGTGGTGCGCGCCTGTAGTTCCAGCTACTCGGGAGGCTTAGGCAGGAGAATAGCTTGAACCTGGGAGGCGGAGGTTACAGTGAGCCAAGATCATGGCACTACACTGCAGCCTGGAGACAAAGTGAGACTCTGTCTCAAAAAAAATTGTCACACAGCATCAAGGGCGCCAAATTCACACAGTTCTTCAAATGTTATAATGAAAACACTCTCATATGTAGTATTTATGTGTCCCTACTTTAAAAGTTTTTGTGTTATTATTACTGGATAC